AGAAAAGACGCTTTACCACTGAGCCACACTGGCCTTCTAATATGTAGATTACAATGCTAACATGAATGAGGCTTAGAATTTTTTTTATTCAAAATTTTGCTTGACAGCTGCATCTGATGTGAAATAATTCATTACCAAATATACCGCGGTAGAGATATGTCACTTAATGTACTTCAGAAAATATTAAATGTAGCACACGAAGGATAAGAGTTACTCTTGTATAGTGAATTAGTTGACTGATTGATTGATTGATCAATTGATTGTATGCTGTTTAGCGTCCCTCCTGGGTATTTTTAATCATACTGAGACGCCACTACTTGCCGATGGAGAGCTGCAAATTTGTCCTATGCGCAGCACTCAAGGCCATTGAGCAGAAAAGGATATTTTTTCGTGCCAGCATCTACTGCGACACGGGACCTTAGTTTATGCGGTCTCATCCGAAGGACGAGTTTCCATGTCCCTCATTGGGATTCGAACTTGCGACGTAAGGAGCAACTTCGTACTTCGCAACTCTAGAACAAATGCTCTAGCTACTGCACCACGCAGGCGACATAAATTAATTTATACACAACATTGTAATAAACTGCAAATAAAAACAAGGATCTATTGATTTACTTAAGCATTGAATTCATATTTTGGGATGTTTTCGGTCCTATAACACGACCGTCCGTGCCGACAAATTGAATATCGCGCTAACGCGATAATTTGTCGGCACTGCCAGATGTGTCGTAGGACCGAAGACATCCCAAAATATGATTCAATGCTAATATTTACATTCTCTAATTTTCCTTTATCATAATTGTTTATTTCGTCCATGTTTAATGTGAATTGAGCGCCCTTCGGTATTGGTGTGCTTAATAAACGTAATAGTCGTACGGTTCGAAAGCCGTTTCTGACGTTGGAAATAAACATTGCGAGGAAAAAATGTCAAATTAATTTTCAATGCACGTTGTATTTTATGTTAATTTTAAAAGGGTAGTTTTTGAAAATTAAATTGAGTCAAAACAATATACATTTTGGTGTTCCTAAATATTAGTGTTGGCAAATCGGACGATTTTTATTAACCGGTTACTCGCTTAATCTTCCGATCGAGTACCCGGTTACTCGGATGATTTTTTGCTATATATTTTCCGTATTTATTATTTACCTCATCCTTTTACTTATTGGTAAAAAAAACCCACAAATGCAACTATATGAATATTAATTTTTTTTTACAAATACAAACTTTAAAAAAAAATATTTTCGAAGAATATTGATTTTAATTGTCACATGAAACGGTCCGTTTGTTTTCATTTAAGTAAAAAAAAAATCAACACATGAAGAAGATACGTGTTGCGATCAAGGAGAATTAATATACCCTCTAATTTCTGATTGTTTTGTAGAGTTTTCTGCAAGTCACTGGTTTCCGAACTTTGTTTTAATCTATGGTGATTTAGCATATTTGTACTTCCACCCGTATATGAAAACTCCGATTCACATAACTTGAATTTGACAGATTTCAATTCAGTCTTTCTTTTAAAATATATCCATGCTTTAGATGTTTGCGGCTACATCTTGTGAAAGTATGTTCCTCTGACTATCACAGGTCTAAGCTAGGTAATTATAACTCAGGTCTTCAAAACATGTGTCCACCTGGTAATCAAAGCCATTAATTATACACGCTGTGAAAACTTATCAAAACAAATCGATCCCAATGGTGAACCGGTGGAGGAAGCCTTACGGTAATTAACGGTAATTAAATTAGGAAAATGTGTCAGTATACAATTACAAATAGCATAAAAATCATTTTATACGTATTTACTATAAAAATGTGTTTATATCCGAGTAACCGAATAGCAGTTTTACTAACCGATACTCGCATCGTTCGACGGTTAACCGGTTAACCGGGTACTCGTTGCCAACACTACTAAATATTGAAAATATATGTAGTTCCTACTGTGTATTCTACGGCGCTGTGATATGGTTTTGCGTGTGTTATAGAAATTTGAACGTCGTGAATTTCTAATAAATTTCATACAGAAAATTACACTGAATGTAAATATATCTACATGCACATAATTTGTCTAAGGGATTTCTTATTTCTAGCTGAAAAAATTCTAATGTGAATCAATATAAATATATACATAAAAACATTTCAAATTCCTCGAAAGGAAGTTTTGTTTATCTCGTATAAATGTATCAAAATATAAACTAAAATTTCCTCTCCATATCAATTTTTTATATCATTTAGGAGCTTATGCTTCCTTAAAGGAAACTGGACGTGAACATTGGACCAGAGAGTGCTTCACACATCAGCTACTAAGGAAATATCTTTAACTAGAAAACAATATACCAATGTGAATTTTAGAGGTCGAGGATGAACTCCTTTAAACTTTTTAAGCTGAGATAAAAAATATTGTTCAAACATTTTCTCTCATTGTGCAATGATACATAAGAATCAAAAGCCAAATTTTCTTACATACCACCTCTACGTGCCGTGGTAAATATTTGTTATACAGATTTTCTCCTAGAATAAAAAATCTCACCAAAGAGGACAGGAACATGACAATTTCACGCCTAGAAACAAAAATGTAAATGTTAAATAACTTTTACTTCAGATAAAAAATCCACTTCTCAATGAGGAGAAGAACACTGCAGCTAGTTTGATAAGACCCCTGCATCACTGGTTAAGTTCTCTACCAACTGAGATATCCAAGGTTCCTTGATTATTGCAAACCTACTTTGCAGGTGTTACAGAATTTATGTATCTTACTTATAATAATCATTGTACCCTAATTTTTTAAATGAAAATCTTTCTTACTGTGTATGAGAATGATATTTACAGCCAAAGTCTACTTTATCCACCCAATAAAGTTATAAGGGAGCTGAAACAGAGAGAATGTACATTGATGAACCGACATCAAAATCACATACAGAAGGCTAAGAATACATACAATCATTTACACTAAAAGAAAATCGTATATTTATTTGTACCCCCGCTTGAAAAGCGGCAGGGTACTGTAAACCAACTACAGTCAAACTTCATTGTCAAACATCAGTCATAGCGGTCACCTCTATCCAGCGGTCACTTGTCCTATGCGGTCATTTTATTTCCTCCCAATGAAATTTCCTATATAAAGTAACTCTATTTAGCGGTCACTTGCGTAACGCGGTCAGCGGTCACCTAATTTCAAACGAAATCGCCACTTTCCCCGTCTTTATCGGCCATTTTGTCCAATCACGTGACCTGATCTGGAGTCAGTCTGTATTATTCACGTCATTCGCGATTCGTCTGTTCGAAATCATTCCGTGACGAGTAATTTTCACGACTGAGGTAACATTCTTTACCAATTTAAAGAAAAAACAAAGGATTCGCGGCGATTAATATTAGCTAATTTTAGTAGGTCGCGAAAATCGCGAATATTTCTTGCGTGCAAATAAAAGTTGGTTTATAGTATATAGTAATCCGGATGTCCGTCAGTCCGACTGTCCGACCGACTGTTACGATTGGGGTACCCATCTTATATCCGCAACTCGTCTCACATAACTGAATGAAATTTGATGAGACTTTCACAGAATCTTTATTACATATTGCAATTGTGCACTTTCTATTTTACTTTTTGACCAACGTATATGTTGAGTTTACCATAGAAAATTAAGCAAGACATGGACACTTCCATTATATTTATATTGGTTTGGGGCGGGGTATCGTTTGTTATTAATAATTCAATGGGGATTTCAAATACACATAATTATAAATTACTTGCTCAATTCAGCTTTTGAAATATTTGTTTCAATCAAGCATTTTATGACGACTTTGAACTATACGTTTACAGATTTAGCTAATTTCCTCAGAGATTAATGGTTAGCTTAAATGTAACATTGGATGTTTGTCGATGGTTATCTCATATTAACAAAATGCGTGAAATTTAGTCAATTAAAACCCCTGATAACTCTTTGTTTGGGCTAAGTGAAATAGTGGCAATTGACTGCTTTGGGTGAAAATGAAGGATTCTTAAGGATATAATATTATGAAACAAATAAAAAATTATGCGTGGATTGATTTACATTTTAAACAGATTTTTATCATACAAAAAACAAAAATAAATGATAAATCCTTCAAGCTATTTTTTTCTTTTAAGCTTTGATATGATACTGTGTGAATGATGGTTTTAATCTCTGATTCTATACAAATTTGCACACATTTTAACGTTCAAACACAATCTCAGAAATAACTCCCACTTTATTTGGCAAACATAACTCAGGTAAAATATTGAAATATAAATCTTGCGGATTTTTGGACATAGGTTACTTGTGTTAATTATCTTAAATTGTTTTAATTCCTCATTAATGGTTTAAAAAAAGATATATTTTCAAAAAATAAAAAAAGATATCTGACAATTTGAAGACTTTTTGAACTCATCGGTCATAATAGATGAGATTATATATTAAATGTGTTTTCCTTTGCTTGTAGAAGAACAAGTTAGCATCCCAAGCCCGTATACCTGTACGGCCAAGTGTGTCCTTTCGGTTACTTACCTGTTGGTTGTCCCAGGTGTGAATGTGCTCCCGATCCTTGTCTGGTAATTAAGAACTTATCTCACTTAAGATCTTTCCTCATCCATCTATGATCATTCAGTACCTCATGAAACCAGTATCTTGTTTGAATTATTAATTTGCTTTTTATTTATTTATTTTTGATAATGTTTAGTTCCATTATAATTAAAAGATTATACATATTATAACCACAATTCTATATCTTTAAAATAGAATGACATCTTCCCAAACATTGTTAGAATAAGAAAAGAAAAAAATCAAGCGAATGAAAATACATCTCAGAATACAAAGGACTTATCAATTATCTTATTAAAAGTATTATTTTTAAATATATAATTTACAATATTGTAAAAAAACCCGTTTGGATATGAATATTAATAGTCGCTTGTCAGTTAAACAGAGTAAAAAAAATGATGAAATTTAAAATATATGCACACAAAGTTAATTGAACGCTTTATTTTACAGTTTACAAACTGTCCTAGGTGATTTACATGCTCCTCTATTCCTTCCGATTGTGGATATTCACAGTGCCGTCACAAAGCCGCCTGTTTACTGAACACCACGTCTGGAGGTTAATATAATGACTAATTTGCACATGATCCTTTTTTATAATTATACCTTCGGGACTGGTTATAGACTGATGGTATTTCTGATACATATTTTATGATTGTTTGATATTGTGAATTTTGTTAATTTAAGGATACATAACACAAACAAAAATTAGAAGGGTGGAGTGATATGTTTTATTTGCTGATTTTGAATAAAAATGACATAAATAATAAATCTCTAAATTATAAAGAAATCGTAAGACTTCTTTGATGCTCAAATGTGTGACTTTGTGGCGTTTTTTGTATACATATGTAAATCTACACAAAATTTTACACACATTTTCAATATTGTGAGAAAATCTTTCAAAAATCTCCATATGCATTTACTCGTCAAACATTATTCAGGTTACTTATTTTTATATATAAATCTATAAGAAATATTGTTTATTTCTGGAAAAAAAGAAAAACTTTATTTTGTGTGTTTTTGTGTTATTAACCTTAATGCTTTATTGAAAAGTGATTTTTTGTATAAAAGATTATACTTGTAGAAAAGATGATCAGAACGTCAAAGAAAACATTGCAAGTTATATAAAAACAGATTCCATCGAGATTATTTCTCATTTTTTAAAAGCCAAAGACTACCAGTCTTTTTAATGCTGATGTAATGGATATTGTAATGACCAAAACTTATACTTTTAGGTGTGAAGTTTTTTCCATAAATGATACAAAGTTATATTTCTATCAAATTTTATATTACATATTATACAGGGTGCAGAAAATTAAGAAAAAATGTCACAACATCTCACTTCACTTCCCCTTTTTTTGTGACAGTGCGGTATTTGATATTTATTCCAATACAGGGTACAGACAATAAAAAACATTACACAATATCCTTCTCCTTTTCATTCTAACAGTGCGATATTTGATATTTGTTCCTTACAGAGCAACCTTGTGGGTGTGGATCTGATTTTTCTCCTGTGTGTGGTTCGGATGGGAAAACCTATTCCAATGACTGCGTACGATATTGTGTGTAAGTTCACTCAAGAATTTCTTATTCTTCGCAGTTCCCATCGTCGCAAACCATGGCTAAAATGTATGATCCTCTCACATTCTCAGGAGAGAGTTATATGCGGATTCCAAACCGTGGCTTTAGATGATGGGCAGTTCTCACAATGTGTTTTTTCTTATCTATGTTCCTAAAACTGGTTAACATTTAAAAGTTTATCTTTTAAGTAAATGGCGACTTATTTTCTTATTTGCAGTGGGGCATTAAAGAAACAAGATTGATTTTTTCACTGTAAATGTATCCGTATTTATGACCCTGTGTGTGGAGAGGACGATCAAACCTACATAAACGAGTGCTTCCTACAGTGTAGGTATGGAATAGGAAACAAATAAAAAGTATGTAGATATGTTATTAGCATTTGAGGAAGAATGGGACAGGGTTGATCCTTCATATTAAAAAGGAGAATAAACTAAAGTTAACAAATTGCTGGGTCCCTTTTAATACTGGAATGAATAATCCCTTATTCGCCACTGCGTATTAAAATCATTTTCAAAATTAAAGCTATAAAGGAGAACCATCTTTGTTCATGCCAATGTCCACTGATAAAGAAAAGTGTGTGTGGTGTACACGGACAAACGTACATTAACTAATGAATGTGTTATGAAGTGTGCGTAAGTATCGTATATTCATATCATTAGAAATCATTGATGAAAACGAGAGATAATTTATTTTTAACCTCTGTGTTAATTTTCTTAAAAATTAAAACGTTTCAGAGGTGTTCCTAAAAGACAAGATGGAACGTGTGAATGCTTGATGATGTGTAATGCTGTTCTCAGACCAGTTTGTGGAATCAATTTTATTACCTACAGAAATGACTGCTTTAGGAATTGCGCGTATGTTTACATCTTTAGTACACATACACTGTATATCAAATTTAAGTTGAAAGTCATATTTTCTTTCAGCTTCATGCTTATTCGTTGTAAAATAAAAAAAAAATATTTTTCATTTTTTATAATAATAAATAAAAAAGTGCCCTCTCTAAGGTAATTTTAATATTAACTAGTGCTAATTGTAACGGGAACCGTTACAGATGTTCCCCAAACGCTCCCCAACTTCCTTTTGGTGCCATATTCCCTGAAAGATTCATTAAATAAGACAAACTCTGTGCATTTTTGACTTTAACAACGTCTTCCAAGAAGGATTCCAATTATATTCAAATGTTAGCAGTGCACGTGTGCGCATGTGAATGTATGTGCGTTATGAAAATATCATCATGTCTACACTATCTATATATTTAAATATACTATATATTAAAGCATTTAGTCCAAAAGTATTAAAATTCACTCATTCAAGAATATTTTTAATTTCACTCGTTCCAAATGCACGCATGTGTGTGCACGTGCATGACAACCATGCCTTCTTATAGGAGTCCCTTATATCTATCTGTGTTCCAAATCCCATCCTGTTTGGTTGAAAACCAAGAGAGTTATCGATATTTCAAGTTTAAGCCAATCAGATTGCAGCGCATGTGCATGCGCGTGATTTCATGATTTTTTCCTATATCATATTGTAGGATATCCTAATGCATGACGAAGTTTTGAATTTCAAAGCATTTCGTCAAAAAACAAAGGACATATAGCCATTTAAAGTTTCAGCCAATCAGATTGCAGCACACGTCCATGCGCATGACTTCTTGAATTTTTTTGTATATCAAATTGTACGATATCCTAATGCATGACTATGTTTTAAATTTCAAAGCATTTCGTCAAAAAATAAAGGAGATATAGCCATTTAAAATGTCAGCCAATCAGATTGCAGCACACGTGCATGCGCGTGATTTCATGAAATTTTTTATACATCATATTGTACATGTAGGATATCCTGATGCATGACTATGTTTAAAATTTGAAAGGGTTTCGTCAAAAAACAAAACAGATATTGAGATTTTAGTTTCAGCCAATCAGAGCAAAGCGCACGTGCACGCGCGTGAGTTCGTGCTAATTTGACAATGTTATTATATTAATATTATTCATATATCCTCATGTCATGTAATCAAATTATGGCTATATTAAGTATATCAGTCATTTAACTCACTTCACGCGCCCGCACGTGCAGGCGTATGCGCGCAAAATGACCTTCGTTCCGCACACCTACACAACACACCTATTAACCCTAAAAAGGTTTTAGCTCAGTTGGATGAACAGTTTCTGAGAACACTCGCGGACAAAAAAGTACCGGAAAACAAAGAAGAAAAAAAAGAATAATAATAATAACTAGAGCAAAGCTCGTTGCAAAGCAACGAGTAGGTCTTCCGTCCTGTTTGACCGGAAGTAGCATTAATTTTTAACAAAAATGAGAAATAACGCCTAAAAATGGTTTGAATTCTTTAACACTATGTTGATTAATGCAAAAATAAGCAATTTTTTGCTATTTCCGGTTTGACGGGAAGTGACGACGATGGACAGAAAATAAATTTTTAAGCTCCAAAAGACATGTTACCCAAAAACTTGTCAAGAACGGCAAAAATACGCGTTTTTCGACTACTTCCGGTTTGGACGGAAGTGACGACGCCGGACGTTTTCGGACGACTTCAATAGATTAAGCTTGTCATTTTGAACAACTTTGCTTCTTTGACGTATTACAAATTCTCAATACGTTTTGAGATATAAAGAAAAAATTGTTGGACCCTCTAGGCCCTTAAATTTAGGGGCCAGCCCTTTTTTCGAGATATCATTTGAAAGATTTTTTAATTCTGCACTTCTTTTGTTCTATATGTTTTCACAAAATATTTTCAGGTAAAAAGATATCGAAGAAAAGGTGTGAGAAATTTTGAAATTTGTGATAGGTCTATTTTCGGGCCATAGCGAGCGCCGACGAGCGTCACTTCCGGTAAATTTGATATACCTGATGCACCTCTCCAGACATAGCTCTACCTAGCCTCAAAGTTTGAAGTTTCTATCTGGAGCCGTTTTTCGGGAAAATTGTGGACAAAATGACCCTTAAAAATCAGAAAATCGACGATATCTCTAGACCAGAAGTGACGTCATCAAAACAGAAAAAAACGCATAAGGTTCAAGTGATGTTCCATACGTCCTGAAAGTTTCATAAGATTTTGTTGAGCCGTTTTCGAGAAATCGCGTGCACAAAATCGGTAAGAAAAAAAAATAATAATAAAAGTGAAAAAGAAACCGAAGAAAAACAATAAGGTCTTCCGCTGAAGACGGAAGACCTTAATAATGATAATAATAAGAAACCGAGTAAAAACAATATGTTCCCAAACTCCGTTTGGGGAACATAAAAATAATAATAAACAAGTCAAATTTTATTATGAGTACTATCAATCTTCTTCAGTGGTGTAGGTCTTTCCATGAGCGGTCCTTGCAGAAGGCTACAAAGAAAACCGAACCCTGGAACACAATCACAAATTAATCGTCAGCTCTGACTCGTATCATTGTATAATTTCAAAATAAAAAGAACGATAACCCCTGTTTCGTTAATTTTTGTGACACATTAATGGAATTAACTAGTAAATTCATACTTATATATGTGTCCAAGAAAACAATCTTTTATGATCATCGAAAATAAATAAAAGAAGCTCTAAAACGTTTCTTTGCCATTTTCATACGTAAAGACTAATTTTTTCCCACATAAATATATACATATTTCCAAACTGTTTATTTTAAGAACAAAATATATACACTGAAAAATAATATGATATATTGTAAAAAGAAAATGATAATATATAAGACAGGGAATAGACAATGCAATGAAAATGTGTGTTTTATTGAATTCAAATGAATTATTGATATTATTCTAAAAAGATAATCACATACAAGAACATTAGGTACATGTATTCAATTTTAAATCTATGTTAATACGAGTGTGATGTTTAACCCCCTCCTCTTCCACT